ATTTCTATCCCGCCTATCTGGTCTTATTCGACCACTCTAGGCGGCTTACAAATCAACAGCAGTAAATTCTAAAAGCATTATAAATTAACAAAGATAAAGGTCAAAATAATATAAAAAGAAAAAGATCGTCAGGGGTTAGCTGTTGGGAAGGCCTGCCTATACATAAGTGTTTTTAATTGTTTCTTGAAAATGCCCAGCGAGGGAGCGGCGCGGATCTCGGGAGGTAAGTTGTGTCTCTTGTGTCTGAGGAAGTGGATTTTGATCCACCAACGCTGACATTGAAATAAAATTGTTAGTGTTTACAGTGTTTACAATACTTTGCCTGTCTTCTCCTTTTTCTTTTCTTTTAGCCAGTGTGCTAAGACACAGTGATGCAGCTGCTTCTTTAAATATTGTTACTATAATGATAACAGAGCTGTGGAAATGGAGATCAGTCCTGGAATATATGAAACTGGGTTTGTTTGTTTTTTACTGAGTCTGACAGCCTAGTTTGGGACAGACAGATGGCAGCAATTCAAATTTTCAGAGAGGAATCTTTGAAGCAATGGATCATGCACTGGGCATAACATTTTAAGACAGGCAGAGAGTGCCGTCGTTGGCCTCAAAACACAGAATGATGGAATTACAGTGCTGGAAGCGATCCAAGCCTCTGCCCGTTGAAGAAAAATCACAGAGAAAGCATCTCTGTCTACCCTCTGTTCAAAAGTCACCACCTTCTGAGATAGTCTGTTCCACTGTCACAGGAAAAACTTTGTTCGTTGTCGTCGTTTAGTCGTTTAGTCGTGTCCAACTCTTCGTGACCCCATGGACCAGAGCACGCCAGGCCCTCCTATCTTCCACTGCCTCCCGGAGTTCTGTCAGTTTCATGCTGGTTGCTTCGCAGACACTGTCCAGCCATCTCATCCTCTGTCATCCCCTTCTCCTCTTGCCATCACACTTTCCTAACATCAAGGTCTTTTCCAAGGAGTCTTCTCTTCTCATGAGATGGCCAAAGTACTGGAGCCAAAGTACTCAAGGTAACTTTGTTACCTTTAGTGAAAAAATCCTTTCTTATAATTTGGACCAGCTCGTTCTTGATTCTATCCCCTGAAACACCCAGAAAGAAGTTGGATCTGTTGTACATACGGCTGGCCTTTTGATATCTGAGAAAAATAATCAGAAAAAGTCCATGTGGTCCCCTTTCTCAAAAAACAAACAAACAAAAAACAATACAAATGCAGGAACAGGCAATGTTTCATATTGGACCACTGAAAAAGCTTTCAAGGATAATGCATCGCCATCTGACTGTGCACCAGGATCTGATGTATAGCCCCAAAGTTTCATGCCATGGTGTTGTTCGTGGTAGGCAAGTTTTCTTAAAATGAGTTGAGAGAGACAGTATGCAATCACAGTCAGATTAGCTGGTGTGTGTTTTCTTAAGCATGCGGTACGGCTTGGCTGGTGTCAGAAGTTCATTTTGTTCTCCAATGGGCAGCCATTCAAGGGATATTCTTTACAGTTCAGAAAAAAAAAATCAGAAAAGGCCATGCGATGCCCCCTTAAAAACCAATACAAATGCAGGAGCGCGCAATACGTTTATTGGGCCACTAAAAATACCTGAGAAGGCTGTTTGTATCAGTTCTCAGTCTTCCATCGGGCTAAACGTGCCCAATTCACTCATCCTTTAGCTCCTAGATGTGTCACCATCTGAGCTGGTGTCTCCTGGACATATTCCAGCTTTTCAATGCATTGATATCACTCCTACCCACTAAAAATCACAGCACTCAAAATGGCTCACGAACATCAAATAAGGTAGATTAAAAACAAATTAGAAAGCAACTGAACAGTAAAACAACTAAAATCACAATCAGGAAAGGTCGAGAATCAGGAAAGGTCGAGAGTCTATTGTATTTACGCCATGTGTATAAGGGCAGTCATGCGGATGATTTTCACATTTTCGCACTGTCAGGCGTGTGACTAATTGTGCATAAAAAGCACTACCGAACGGACAATGGGCAGCCGTCAGAATAGCATCCATTGTCTTGTGCAGTGATCCTTATGATCTTGATGAGTCCAACAGGATACTGATCAAAGCATTTAAAATTATCACTTGTTAGTAAAATAGTTTAAAAGGCCATTTGTAAGAGGCACACTCTTCCTAAAAGCCATGTGAGTGAGAAATGATTGTAACGGATGTGGGAGCAACACCAGGAGAAAACCCTTGTTTATGTGCTCTTCAAGCAGTCTTCCACAGCGCTGCTGGTTGTTGTGTCATGCTTTCGAGCCAGTCCTCATGGGCATAATTATGGTATATTGTTCTGTGATGACACTGTTTGGCACAGAAAAAAACACGACCTCATCTGCTTGCGTTTCTACTTAAAATGAGCTATTCTTCCCCTTTAAGATCTGGCCCGTATCTTTCTGGCACTGGGCTGGGACATGCAATCTTTTTGGCCGGTTCATTGAGATGCGAAATAGCTCTTTGTTCAGCCTTTCCTGACAGGTACCAAGAGTTACAATAGATTGCAATGAAGATAAGGACATTTAAAGCACTGGCCAGATCGCACAAAATATCACAGGGCTCTTTGTTGCTGTGCTGGATCCGGCTCTGGAAAAACAGTCCTATGGTTTTACAGCATGTTTCAGACTGACCCTGCTCACTCTCCACCTAAAAAACACCCTAGTGGGTTGTGGGCAGCTATTGGCCAACATTAGCATATCCCCAACAAATGGGTGCATAGTACCAAAAATGCTTTTGCAATTAGTTTTAAGATGGTTGTTGTGGGTTTTTCAGGCTCTTTGACCGTGTTCTGAAGGTTGTTCTTCCTAATGTTTCGCCAGCCTCTGTGGCTGGCATCTTCAGAGGACTTCAGAGTGCTGTCCTCTGAAGATGCCGGCTACAGAGACTGGCGAAACGTTAGGAAGAACAACCTTCAGAACATGGCCAAAGAGCCCGAAAAACCCACAACAACCATTAGATCCCGGCCGTGAAAGCCTTCGCGAATACAGTTTTAAGATGGTTTGCTTTAATTGGAGGAGGATAATGTTTTAGAAAAAATTGAATTCAAAATATAGACAGTCCTGGCTGGGTAAAAGGCTGATGCATCTTATTTATTTAACTATTTTAAAAAGTATGCCTTCGTACTTTGCCAAGGCTGCATTTGACTGGCTTCTATACATATTTGTAAGGCCAGTTGCAAAACCTCTTGACATGCTGGCATGTTAACAAAGCAGCCAAACCGTACTCTCCGAGGCCATGTGCTTTGAAGGGGAAGGATGCTGCTTTATATCTTATACAAACGCCAGCCAGTCAGCATTGTACAAGTTCAGTGTCCAGTTAAATTGGAAAGAACAGCCTCCTCTTTCCCAGCTCGGTCTATGTATGTATCAGAAACACTTTGAGGGCATTTCCATAGTCAGATGGTGGTGTAATTGGTGTAATGTATCTCTAAACACAAATGAGACAAAGCATTTTGGTTGAAGTGGGTGTCGCTGGGATATAGGGGTGAATAGCCAGAATCCTACTGGTGATTTATGCTTGTGTAAATGAAATCACACTGATCTTGGCAGCAAATTGTCCTTCATTAATGAGGTGCTGGTTGTGTGCCTGATTATATGATCAGGCGCATGCTCCGAAATGCAACCAGCACCTTGTTAATTGGTGGCAAATGGCCACCAACTTTTTTTAAAATGTACTTTGTCATTTTACTCCTTGGGATGCATTGCTTTCCATATAAATAATTTCTTCCTTTAATTTTTCCCCTTCTCTACTAGGTGATATCCCAATTGTTCACTTGAATTTCATCGTGTTATCTCTGGAGGGTCCCTTTAACAGAGATGTTGTGGAGGGTTGTGTCCGAGAGACGCTCCTCTCTTTCTCCCGGTCTATAGCCACCAAGCAGGCCGTCGAGTTCACCTTTAAAGGAATCGGTGTTCTGGTGATCCGGGACAATAAAGTGAAAATGAAGTTTTATAAAGACTTCCTACAGGCCATGGATGGGAGTGGAAACCTGCTGAAAGCTCTTTCAAATGTAAGTTTGTAGTTTCCTTTTGGAAATAGATGTTGCTATTTTGATGTTATTTTTTAATCTTCCAATGTAATAATGCTTGGGTTTAAACCATTAGCTGGCTGGATAGCTCAGTGAGTTAAGTTTCCACTTAACTCACTGCGGAGGCAGAGAAGGGGAATTTGATTCCCCACTGTGCATCTACAGTAAAAAGAGCCAGCCTGGGTGGCCTTGGGAAAACTGCAGAGTCTCCAGGCACCCCTAGAAGAAGGAAATGGGAGACCAGTTCCGTTTACTCTCTATCTAGAAAACCCTAGAAAGGGTCACCATAAGTCAGAATTGACTGGATGGCACACAATTATTTTAATTAAAACAGTTACTTGTATGAACTTTATCTGAATGAGTCAGGCTGGTTCGCTCTGGAGGATTTTTTAGCCAAATGTTTATGCCGGGCACCGAGCTGTATAAGGAATATCCTGGGACATTTATTACTGTGTTCAAGAAACGGATCACTATTAGAGCTGCAACAAATTATTTGCTTAAATGTATTAACTGATTAAAATACAGGTACAGTGCAATCTAGAAATACTAATGAGTTTGATAGGAGACATTCCCAAGTAAGGGTGTATAGGATTGCATCTTATATCTACAGTATTTAGCTAGAAATATTTACTTCAGTGGGGTTTGTTGGTATGTATTGGTATGTGCTCCCTTGTCTGGTTCTTGGCAACCTTATAAATAAATGACCTCCAGAAGTTCCTGGAGGTGGTGTTGAAATCCCCACTAGGCCATAGAAACTTACTGGAGGGTTGCAGTAGTAAAACCACTTCGTAAGCCGATTCTTGGCAACCTTATAAATAAATGACCTACAGAAGTTCCTGGAGGTGGTGTTCAAATCCCCACTTGGCCATAGAAACTTACTGGTGGGTTGCAGTAGTAAAACCACTTCGTAAGCATCTGAGAGAACTTGGAGGTCCTATTTAATCATAAATTAGATGTCGCCTAATGGCTCATATCAAAATGAACAATAGGTCTTCTCATTAATAGTCCTACTCAGGTCTTCCAGGCTTAAGGCTGTGGCTTTCTTGACTGAGTCATGCCATCTCATGTTTCATCTTCCTCTTTTCCAGCTGCCTTCAACTTGTCCTGGCATTAATGTTTTTTCCAATGAGTCCTGTCTTTTTGTGCAATAGACGTTAGACTTCTAATTAGGCACCCACTGATTTATCTTTCTGGTGGTCTATGATATCTATAAATGCCCTTCCACCACCACATTTTTAATTAATCAATTATTTTCCCGTCAGATATTTTCACTGTCCAACATTTACACCCATACATGGTAACTGACAATATTACAGTGTGGATGATCTTCCAGTGATAAATTCTTAAGAATCTTTTCTAGTTCCTTCAAAGCTGTCCTAATCAGTCCTTTTCTGATTTCTCGCCTGCAGTCTCCGTTTTGATTCTTTGCCAACTTCATTTTATTCATTGTGAACATTTACATTGTGTTAATGTAAATGAATGTTTTCTTCTTAATATTCAACTGTAATCCTGCTTTTAGGCTTTCTTCTTTAATCTTCTTCTGTGGATTCTTCAAGTCATTACTGTTTCTTTCAGTAATACAATGTCACCTGCAACTCTTACATAGTTTTTTCACCAGTTTTCACTTCTTTATCTGATGCTGAAGTGAGCTAAAGTCTACACATGCTTATGGCAAGTAAAACTGTGAAAAAGTAATATTTCCAAGCTCTGACAATTAAGAAACTCAGTGGCCTGTGTTGGGCCATGTGAAGTTTCTGAGTGGGTTTCAAAAGTAGTTCCATGTATAATGCACTGCAGTGATTCAAAAAAAGTCTTCCATATTTCCTTAACCCACTTTCCCTCTTATAATGAAAACTCCAGATGCTGCGTGTTTCATTGGTTTTCTGAGAACTTCTGCCTAGGTTGTGCTAGTTTTTTTTTTAATTTGTCAAATGCCCAAAGTGACTCCATCATTTTCTGTTATAGAGGCCTGGGACTGGGGACTCAGTGTTATCAGCCAGAGAAAGCACCACTCCACCTTCACGCTCCGGTAACGTCGTCGTGTTCCCAAGGTGAGTGTGTCAATCTGGCGTGTGCGTTGATTGCCCCTTTTGTAAATGAGGTTCTTTTCTCTGAAGGCTGCTCAGACGCAAGGCTGACTACAGAAACAAGGCTACCAGTGAGGACTTAGGAGGATGCAAATGGTGTAGAAGTGGCAGGTTTTTGTCTGTTCAGATGCAGAATTGTCCTGTGATCTCATGCATTTCCTAATTTTTTAACCGTTTTTTAAAACAGTCAACAACAGATTCTAGGTGGCAGGAAACCTTCGGAGAAAGATTGTTTTGTCAGACCTCTCCGTTTCTTAACAGCTGCAAATCACTATTTTCATTCTTCCACACTCCTCCAGGGAGATGCCATTGTGGGACATTTTGGGATGGTGGACAGGGCTTCGAAACTGGCCTAAGAGAGGTGACGTTGGACATGGGTCCTGCTGAGGAGTTCTCGCGACAATCCAGCTGTGCTGAGCCTGAAGTGTCTAGTAATATCAGTGCTGGGGAAAGTTCTAGAGCAGTGGTTCCCCCATCTTGGGTCCTCAGGTGTTCGTGGACTACAACTCCCAGAAATCCTGGCCAGCACAGCTAGTGATGAAGGCTTCTGGGAGTTTTAGTCCAAGGACACCTGGGGACCCAAGGTTGGGAACGATGGTTCTAGAACTTAGAAAAGGAGAACGTTTCTGTACTAGAGTTCTCAGAATCCCAAGGGCCTTCTGCTGTATGGGGAACTCTGGCAGCTATAGGAAGAGAGAAGAGAAGAGAAGAGAAGAGAAGAGAAGAGAAGAGAAGAGAAGAGAAGAGAAGAGAAGAGAAGAGAGAAGAACATATCCAAGCTCTCTTGGCACTGCTGCTCTTCCAATTAAACTTCGGTCAGGCTTCAATGCTTTAGAACAGGAATTGGCACTGCATGTGTCCTGGACCTCATATGGATCTCCAGGGACGCAAACTGTGATCCTTGGCACTCCACTCCCAAGATTTATATTAAGAAAACCCTCATTTTGTTCAGAAAATCCCTTGCCTTTTCTAGAGGGCACTGGAGACCATTCTACCATATTTTGGTCCCTCCTGGCATCTCTGACCCACTCCCCTGGTTTGTTTATATGTGATTTTCTTTTGTCATTAGGTGGGATGAAGGGCCTTTGTGAAGGGGAAATCAATAAATAAAAAGTCTAGGGATGAGTACCTGCAGCCTTCTGCCCTCTGTCCTCCGGAAGGTGCCCACCCATGGGTTAGAGCATCCAGACCCACTTGTTGCAGGCCAGAGTTTTAATAAGACACGCCAGAGAGGAGTCCAGCAATCTTCTCCATCAAAGGCTTGGGCTGCTATGCCATAGCCAGCCTTTGAGACAATATCAGGCATTGGGCCCTTTCCCCCACTTGTACATTGTTCCTCTTCAGATTATGTGCTTTTTAAAGAGGAGGCTGGAGAGCACGGGATGTACAACAAGGTTTTAAGATAGTAGAAGAAGGCATCTAGTGCCATATTGTTTAGATACACTCAAGCACGTGTGGTTAAACTGCCATACTGCAGCCAAAACTCTGCTCATGACCTGGGGCTCAATCCCAGGTATAGCAGGCTCAAGGTTCACTTAGCCTTCCGTCCTTCCAAGGTTGGTAAACAGCTTGTGCAGGGTGCAGAGGATGTGTGTAGCCTCATTAACTTGTAAACCACCCAGAGAGTGTTTTAATCACTATGAGGGGGTGGTACAGAAGCAGCACACTTAGCTTTTGTTCTGCATGTAAGGAAAAAGTTCCTGCATGCTTCCCTGTCCATGGGTTGGGATGTATCTTCTGAATAGGAGGTGTTGTCAGGTTGCAACGCCTATCCTTCCGCACGGCTGGCTTTCTAGAGTTGCGGGGAGTTGCAACGCCGTCTGGAGAACCACATGTTCCCCTCCCAGCGATACCGAACGAGAAGTGTGTTGCCTGAAATGCCTCCTTTATGTGGAATGAATTTTCACCCCCTTTCTGTAGGATCGAAACGAAGGACATGGAAACGATTGCAGAGGAAGAGGAAAAGCCCGGCGAAGAAAAAGAGGAGACGGGTAGAGAGAACATCAGGAAAGGTTGGCGATGTTTGTAAGCTGGCACCTTGGCATTTCTTTTTCAGTATGTTATCTGCAGAACTGTTTATCAAGGACCAATGCTTCTGGTCCTAATCAGAGCTAACTATTGGGCAGGATATAAGATGCTAAGAAGAAGCAAATAGCAGTTGGAAGAAAAGTTCATGCACCACACGGTATGTGATTTGCCACCCAGCATTTCCCAGCTGCCCTCAGGTTAAACCTGCCCTCTCACCAGTGATGAAATAAAATTGATTTGCCAGCCCAAGATCATGTATGGGACACCATCTTCTTTTTTCCCTCAGGCAGCCAAATGGGCTAAGCTCCGCCCATTTCCTCCCTACCCATCAATGGTGGTTAGCATGTTGGACTCAACGCAGGAAACCTGGCTCTAAATCCCCGCTAGACCCCGAAACGTACTAGTGATCTTGGGCCAGCCACTTTCTTTTTGACTTAGCCTGACCTCCATTACAAGGTGGTGGTGAGGATAAAGTAGGAGTAGCAGAGAAAGACACACAGACGATCTTGAGCTCGCTGGAGCAAGTAGAGATAGAAATGAAACTAATAATAGTAATGATAATCATGTGGAGGAGGAAGAGGAGGAGGTTGATGACAACAAAGATGATAGCAATAAGAGACAAGGGAATAAAATATACTCCCCACCCACCCAGGTTTACTTCACTGCTTTACAAGCATAAGATGTTTGTAGAGCAGTGTCCAGAAGTTGACAATTCTGTAGATATCTATGTCTGACATTTTAAAGCTTCCTGGATAGCTCAGTGGTTTAGGTATCTGTCTGTGGAGCTGCAGGTAGTGAGTTCAATTCCCTACTGTGCCTCTTGGAAGCAGAGCCAGCCTGTATAGTCTTGGGCCAGCTGCACAGTCCCAGGGCCTCCTCAGAAGAAGGGAAGGGTAAAACACTTCTGAGTACAGTACTCCTGAAAAGGATCACCCCAAGTCAGATTTGACTCAACAACACATTATGATTCCATTTTAAAGGATAAATGCCTGAGGTGTAGATTTATTTGGAAACTAAAACTGACCAAACTGCAGTGGGACTTCCGAGATAAAGAGGTAGTGTTAGCTTTATTTCTGCACCCATGATAAGTACACCTAGGTCTACCGAGCACCCCTGGACATTAGGTGAAATTCAAAATGGGGAATCTCATTCTGGTGACACCTGCTATGAGGGCATGACAAATAGAACCACAATTGTCACAGGGTGAATTGAAAGAAGACAAAAATCAGAACTGTAACTCAGACAAAGGTGCAACAGGCAGACCTCTTGGTTAGAAGTGTGTTTGGGCTTTGAGGAGCCCCATATCCGTCTATTTATTTGTTCTTTATGACGTATTAGCAGTTTCCCAGTGATACAGCTTGCAAAAAATGATCTTTTTGGAGTTCAACCCTTTAAGAATATGGGATTTGTAGTCCTCACAAGTACCTACTGTGTGTGCTACAAGACAGCTAGGAAGTGTTGGATGACCATGTATGTTTTTCAGGCAGCTTGGAGATGCTATGTTTGGACTACAGATCCAGAATCTCCAGCCGGCATGGAGATAAGCCATGTTGGCTGGGAAACCTGGAAGCTGTAGCCCAAAAGTCACAATTTCAAGCTTCAGTTATTCAAAGCTAGCTTTGAGGTCTCTTTCCTGATGGCTTCCAGTCATGGTGTGGATTTCTCAAGCGGCCGCTGCTCTTCTTTGCCCAGAAACACCTTCCCCGAAGCGCCTCCTCTCCCGCCAGGTGATTACTCCGGCCAAAGTCACGGGAGTCTGTCTGACCGATGAGCTGGAGAAGACTTTTAAGCCCAAAGTCGCAGGAGTTAATCAGACCGAAGAACAGGAGAAGAACTTGAAGACCAAAGTTGCAGGAGTCAGTACAACAGAAGATCTTGAGAAAAACCTTAAGCCCAAGCCACACCTGGTGAGGTGAGAGTTTAATTCAGGATGCATTATTTTTCTGGCTCTTGGTCATATGAATGTGTGACTGTGACTTGCGCAACCCTTAATGCATCTAGTCTAGCATGGTCTACATAAATATCCGGCAAAGTGCAGCCTGATGCAATGACCCCAGAGTAGTTTTGTGTTTCCCTCTCGGTACACCACCCAGGTGTGATTTATGGTGGGTTTTGAACCATCGTAGAGTGCTGGTGAGTAGCTTCTGACTTATGTTGACTCTATGAACGAGTGACCTCCAAAATGTCCTGCCTTTAACCACCCTGTTCAGCTGCTTCAAACTGGAAGCCATGGATCCTTCATGGAGTCAGTTCATCTCGTATTTCGCCTTCCTTTTTTCCTGTTGCTTTCAACTTTTCCTAACTTTATTGTTGAACCATATCTAGATGTTTTTTTTTTCTGGTGGCTCGTAAGAGCGTTGTTTCATTCGCAGAGGGCAGAAGAAGTAAGAGCTCCTGCCAAACCTGAAAATCAAAACCAGAAATGCTTAGGTCACTTCTCATTTTATATTTTTCCTCCCTGATGAATAATAACAATAGCATCAATAACGCGGGCAGCCAGGATGGTAAACTGGCTGGAAAGGAAGCCCTGGGAAGAATTTTTGAGGGAGCTGAATACTTTTAGCCTGGAGAAGAGTAGGCTGAGCTGATATCTTTAAATATTTGAAATGCTGTCTATGTGGAAGATGGAGGAAGGTTTTTTTTCCTGCTTTTCCAATACGCAACAACAGATGGGACCAGAATGTGTAGGTTCAAAACAGAGATTGGCACAAACTGAACCGCGAACCAGAAAAAAAACGATGAAATGTCTGGTTTGCAATTCGGTTCAAGACCGATTGGCATTTTGGGAGAGCTCAGAACAAGATATGGCTACTCAGGAACATCTACCGCCTGCTCCAACTGTGTGAGGATTAAACCGCAGCCCAGGAGAGCCAGTTGGAAGGACGAGATGGGGAGACGATGGGACCATTCTTTTTAATAAAAAGAACAATACCTGGGTTTTGTCTTGAAGTCTCTACATATGATTCATTATGTTTTGCTAATTGACATACAGCCCAGGAGAACCAGTTGGAAGGACGAGATGGGGAGACGAGATGGTGGCTCCTAAATTTTCTCTGGTTGGCTGAATAACTCAGTGAGTTAGGGAACTAGCTGTGGAGCAAGTTGCACAGTCCTAGAAGAAGGGAAAGATAAACCACTTCTGAGTACTCTCTACCTAGGAATCTCTGGAAAAGGTCACCCTAAGTTAGAATTGACTTGATGACACACGGCTGTCATTATAAAGGCTTCTCCCAGCATTGCGCCTCTCTTTACTAGCTCCTGTTATGACCTCTGAGCAAAAAGCATGGTTGAAGCATACTGGGATCCTCTTTCTGGAGGGGAATAAATTCTATCCCTCCCTCCCGTTGGGGTTTTGAGAAGCTCAGGTGTCCTCTACATCCCAATCCATTTCCTGAAAGCTGGAGTGTGAGGTGCAGTTAGGTGGCTCCTAAATTTTCTCTGGTTGGCTGAATAACTCAGTGAGTTAGGGAACTAGCTGTGGAGCAAGTTGCACAGTCCTAGAAGAAGGGAAAGATAAACCACTTCTGAGTACTCTCTACCTAGGAATCTCTGGAAAAGGTCACCCTAAGTTAGAATTGACTTGATGACACACGGCTGTCATTATAAAGGCTTCTCCCAGCATTGCGCCTCTCTTTACTAGCTCCTGTTATGACCTCTGAGCAAAAAGCATGGTTGAAGCATACTGGGATCCTCTTTCTGGAGGGGAATAAATTCTATCCCTCCCTCCCGTTGGGGTTTTGAGAAGCTCAGGTGTCCTCTCGGCTGGTCCACTTTTAAATGTTTTAAGGGTTTGTCTGAGGTGTGTGGGAGGCCAACCATTGCTGAAAAGCATATGTGGAGAATATTGACTTTCAGGAAGTATTAAACAGGCAGGAGTGCCTTTGTGTTTCATTGGAAGGGGATCCTGAGGGGAAACTGGAGGAGATAAAACCAGAGACCTCCTCCATTATTCGTGCGCTGCAGGGGGTCTGGGCAGATGCAGTAGCCTTCCCTTTGCAAGGAAAAGTGATGATAACAGGCCATACAAAGAGAAACACTATAGATGAATATGTGGGTGGAATTACAACATACCCCTTAGTATTCTGACTGCTTTTGAGCCCTCTTCAGGTGATGAGAGACTCCAGGAATAGCATGACAGGGTTTAGTTTCCTTTCCTGAGAGGGTCCTGGAGACCAGCAGTGTCTCTGTAAGATTTGCTTCATATAAATAGGCAGCAGCCAGAGACCTCCTCCATTATTCGTGCGCTGCAGGGGGTCTGGGCAGATGCAGTACCCTTCCCTTTGCAAGGAAAGGTGATGATAACAGGCCATACAAAGAGAAATACTATAGATGAACGTGCGGGTGGAATTACAACGTACCCCTTAGTATTCTGAATGCTTTTGAGCTCTCTTCAGGTGATGAGAGACTCAAGGGATAGCATGACAGGGTTTAGTTTCCTTTGCTGAGAGGGTCCTGGAGACCAGCAGTGTCTCTGTAAGATTTGCTTCATATAAATAGGCAGCAGGTCCAGCCCTGCCATTAAGAAGAGTGAGACCATCCACTATGAGGCCATGAGAGGACAGCAACAGGTTGAAGGAAGGGAGATGCCGTTGTCATACCGCTTGCCTCCTGTCAGCCGGCCATTTTGAACCTAGTAGGCCGAATCAGGATTCTATTAAGTCTCATAACAAACCTTATAAGGTAATGTTAAAGAACGGTTTCCAATCTGTGGCCTCCTTCAAATGTGCCGAGGGACCGATGACCCTCCTTGAAAATGGCTGCTGGAAGCGATACTGCTGCTGTCAGGTGAAGTGGAACAGAGGGTCTCCTCAGCCAAATGGAGGAAGGAGTCAACTGCTAGCGCAGTAAACTCCTGGGCATGGATGAGGTGCACGGTCTTGCGCTTTGCCTCCTGCACCAAAATATTGACAGGCAGAACATATTTATAGGCACTCTGTATAATCGGCATTCAGGTCTCTGAGAAAGCCTTTGTGACTCATAGGAAATGTCAACTCCTACTAACTCCATTTTGTCTTCTATAGGCCACCAACGCCTGCTCATGAAGCCCCCAAAACAGAACAAGAAGCCAGTCCCGCCCCGATTGCTGCCCCCAGATCCCGGACTCCATCTCCAGTTTGCCAAGAGCACGGTAGGGCAGGACAGGTATAATATGCTGTTATTCTTCATTTTCTATGCTTCGTTTTTTGAGTTGTATCTGCTTATGGATAACTCTGGCTGGGAGAATATGAGGCACAGGTTAGCAACAGGCAGCCCGCAAAGCCCATTTTTGGTTTGGGCATGGATGACTTTGGCCCACCAGTCTCCTAGGCTTTTCTGTTGCATGATTGATGACTTTTGGTCCAGCCCACGGCTTGGTTAGAAAAGGTGGAAGCATCCTGAAACAGCCTAGTGGTCTTGCCCATGCTTCCTGATGTCACCAGCCTGCTTCACAGGGCTCATGGCTTCCCTATGCCAGACTCCTGGGGTTGTTGGGTCCACCCAGCTTGAGTCTACATGGAGGTTTCTTGGGGCTAACCCAAGACATTTCACTCCCAGAGGCTAAGGTCAAAGTGACTCCTCTCCCTGCTTGGTGTCCATTATCCAGGTGGGAATGCCATGTGCAGAACGGGCACTGTGGCCGTCAATACAACTGTTGGGTGAGATGCCTGGTTGTGTGACCATAATCTCATCCAAGAGCCTTGCCCATTTTGCAGTTTCGATTCGGCACGCATTCGTCCCAGCAGGTTGCTAGCCTATATGCCAAAGCGGATCGGACTTAAACAGACTTGAAAATAGGAGATGAGATAAACCTGCCTGCCATACAGGGGGCTGGGGGAGGAGCAGACTCTTTAGGGGGCACGAGACAGACTGCTTAGCTCCCACAGACCTGTTGCTGAACTCATTGCGATCCCTCTTCACTCTCAACCTTCAATGCCTTAAGGTCATTCCTTCACTCTGCTTTGTGTTGGGGCCAACTCCAGATGGGCTGGAGAGTATAAATTGGTGCTTCTGGGTGGAGGTTCTTCATCTGGCTGTTGTCCTTTAGGTCTTGCGTACTCAAGACTGTGGTGTCATTTACTGAGTCAGTCCATCTCATGTTCCTTCCTTTTTTTATCTCCTCAAATCATATCATATGCCATTAAGGCTGGACTTGATGATCCGTAGCGTCCCTTCCAGCTCTGATGATGATGATTATACATTAGTTCTAACTTAAAGCGTTAGCCAGGGCATGCAACATAGATAGCTTTAAATATACATCCGTTCTAACTTAAAACATTAGCCAGGGCATGCAACATAGATAGCTTTGTTTTCCAGCAGAAGCGAACGGTCCAAACTCAGAAAGAACAGCTCAAGGATTGAAGTTTCTGATTCCCTGCAGTTGCTGCCTGAGGGAATTGGACTTCAAATCGCCTCACTTTTTGATATGAACATATACACAGTCTAAAACGCAGCTATATTTCATAGATTTTACTTTTCTGGAGTTTGTATTGACAGGTTTCCACAGAAAAGCTGTTTATTTATTGCATTGATCCTCTTCAGCAGGGGAAAAAGGCTCCCGGAGCAGCTTACAGTTTAGCCTGTTTCCAGTCAGAAATGTAGGCCATCACCCAAGAGGAATAGGGGAAAACGAAGAAAAATATGGTCCGTGTATACAGCTGTCGGAGTGAGTGAGATGATGATGGTGCATCAGATTGCTTTTTTTTTCTTTCTGTGGCCAGAGCCATGGAAGAGCTGTTTTTAGGGAAAGAAGGACAAAAATCTGAATACTGGAGAAAATAAGAGGGAGAAAATATATATAGAATATTAAGAAAAATGGCTATACTTCATAGATTTTACTTTTCTGGAGTTTGTGTTGACAGGTTTCCACAGAAAAGCTGTTTATTTATTGCATTGATCCTCTTCAGCAGGGGAAAAAGGCTCCCGGAGCAGCTTACAGTTTAGCCTGTTTCCAGTCGGAAATGTAGGGCATCACCCAAGAGGAATAGGGGAAAACGAAGAAAAATATGGTCCGTGTATACAGCTGTCGGAGGGAGTGAGATGATGATGGTGCATCTGATTGCTTTTCTTTCTGTGGCCAGAGCCATGGAAGAGCTGTTTTTAGGGAAAGAAGGACAAAAATCTGAATACTGGAGAAAATAAGAGGGAGAAAATATATATAGAATATTAAGAAAAATGGCTTGTGAACAATCCACATATGGGGGAAGAATGGGCAAACATATGCTGTCGTTAGAGAAATGTGCATGAAAATGCATACAATTCTTCATGGCGATGTTGGTAAGCAAAGCTCCAAACGGATGTGGAAATGAGTTGAAACAAATGGGAAAATGGAAAACTGAGCAAAATCAAACTTGACGCATTTTCCCATTTCATGCTAACCAGAGAGGCCTAGGCTGCTTGCGTCCACTATCGTGGTTGACTTTGAGACTGAGAAAACCAAAGATTAAATAATCAAAACAAGCCCAGTTTTCTACCAAGTCATATATGCCGTGTCTCATCTTCCACACACCTCCAGGAAATGTGTTACCTGTGCCTGCAGCGTGCTCAAAGGAATGTCCCGATGTACATGGGTGAGGAACGGAGGAGGAAGGAGAAGGAAGAAGACCGGATCCTGGCTCAGTATCAGGCCATGAAAGATCAAGATGCCCTTCGGAAGCAGCTGGTATTGGCATAAACAAATCCCTGCTTTTCTTAAAATGGATTTTTTTAAAAAAATCAGCAGGATCAGTGCTTGTTTTACTCAGACTGATTTTATCCTGATAATCATTTATTTACAGAGGTGTAAATAAATGAGCTGTCATTGTATTGTCACAACCTGCCCCTTTGGAAATGCAACATGCTCAAAGGTAGCTTGGTCTTGTATGGGCAAGTAGGAACCCTTAACTTTGCAAAATGGCTGTTTCCAACTCATTGAGCAGAACTCATTTCTTGATATGGATCAATCCAGCTGCCTGCATTTTGGGACTGAGTCATAGTACAGTGTGGGGAGACTGTCTATGGGTAGTGTCATGCTCAGCACATATATTTCCAAAGCTTTCACTACATCGCTGTGTGCATGGCATTTCTGGAACCATCTCCATATTTGTTGAAGGCTTCCTATTAGAATGGCCACATGTCCTCTTTCAGGGAAGCCAGCCCTGAATTTGGAGGTCTTCCACAAATTTCACTCGGTGAATAATTCACAACAGAACACTGGCCAAAGAGCAACAATGAGGGAAATTTGCGCTCCTAAAAATTCACTCACACAGGGAGTATTTAGCAGATGGAGCAGCAGTTCGAAGGATCATCTCATTCCAGGTTTCTCCACTTAAGTGAAATGCACTGTAATTCTGTTTAAATTGTAAAAACCCTGGATGGATGGATGGATGGATGGATGGATGGATGGATGGATGGATGGATGGATGGATGGATGGATGGATGGATGGATGGATGGATGGATGGATGGATGGATGGATGGATGGATGGATTGATTGATTGGCAACCTTTCTGCCATTGGGAGACTCAAGCCACTTCACAGCATTGGAAAAAAATTAAAAACATAATAAATTGTACATTAAAACAATTAAACTATAGTAGTAATTAAAATATGCTGAATTATTAAAACATTTAAAACTTTAAAAATAAACTTAACTAAAAAAACAGAACAGTAATTCCTTTCTGTTTGTGCATCTGGATGTATAAATTAGCACATGCCATTGTATGCGAACTAGAGATGGGCACGAACTGCCAGTTTGACGGTTCGTAAAGCTTTGTTCTTTAGACACACAGGTGTTCTGCAGACACGTTGACTTCCCTGCCCTGTGTCCTCCTTCTCTGAGTGGGTGCCCACCAGAGGAAGCAGGAAGAGACGTCAGGGCACCCATGGAACAACTGTGAGTCCAAAGAATGTACCTTTACGAACCGCCAAACTGGCAATTCATGCCCATCTCTAATGCAAACTGAGGTCTTTTTTTGTGTCCTTCTTTTTGCTGGTGTCTTAAGGAGCTTCCTCCCCCCCTCACTGACTACTGTTATCTTCTCCCTTTGTCTCACATGCATCTAACTGTCTTTACCGCTGCAGATGCGAGCCATGACAAACAGGGAGCAGAACCAGAAAATTGCCGCTTTTAACTTGGGCATTGCTGAAGCCAAAAGAGACCAGAAGAATGAAAAAGCTGCAGAAACCTACGTAAGGATGCAATGACATGGTCAAATACCTGGAATTTGCTCTGTATTTGATGCGAAGGCCGATTCGAATCGGCCAAGCCCTTTTTATGTCACAAAGGCTTTTCCCCCCCTCTGCTGCTGGGGGCGCTTCTACTTTTTCAAACCGGAACAATTCAAACAGAGTTTTGCCGGTGTGGTTAGTTGTGATATATTCTTGTATGATGGGGGCATGTATGTAGGTGGTGTTTCCGTGGCATACACAGTTGGGACATGATGTTCAGTTGTCCTCTGAATTTGTAATTTGTTTAAAAAATGCTCACATATATGAGGTTTTCCACTAGTTCACCCTACCGGCTTATCACTGGGTCCTTATTATTATTATTATTTCCAGTATTTAGGTCCCATAAAAGGATCAGCAGAGGCGGGACCAGAGGAAGGAAGGAAATTAGAGGGGCTGTGAGCCGAACTGAGACTTGTATGGAGGCTCAATTCCCAAATCAATCCACAGCTCCCGTGTGACCACTGACTATGATTCCAAACATAACCCAGGCTGCGAATCAAATTGCAGCGAAGCCAAATCACTCCTATTTGGCTTTTCATTGTAGCCACACCTTTAGACTATATTCTTTGCAATATGATGATAGTTTGCTTATACAGTGGTGCCCCGCATAGTGATGATAATTCGTTCTGAAAAAATCGTCGCTATACGGATTTGTCACTGTGCGGGGCAAAAAAAGCGCATAAGTTTAATGTGTTCCTGTGGGGAAAAAACTCACCATTCTGTGAAAATCCTCCATGCGGCTGCCATTTTTGCTGCCTTGTAAGTGAGGAAAGGGTGCGAAAACACTGCGGGCGGCCATTTTCTTTATCCGGTGGCCATTTTGGAACCGCCGATCAGCTGTTTTTAAAACATCGCAATGGGGAAATCGGTAAGTGAAACGCTTACCGATCATCGCAACGTGATGTTTTGTCATCTAAAACATTGCAATGCGATCGCTTTTCTGATCGCAAAAAACACATCGCTATGCGGATTCATCGTTAAACGATTTTCTGATCGCAAAAAACACATCACTATGCGGATTCATCGTTAAACGAATCGCTTGTTATGCGGGGCACCACTGTAATTAATAAAGTAGGTTGATCCTTCAAGTTTTATCCAGAAAATTTTGGACCGATATCAAGGAGGGGGTAAGCTCTATGAACCAAATACTCTGGTTTCTCTTCAGCTTGTATAAATCTTTCCCCTTTCACAATCCCTTCTCTATTGGCCATACTGGGTAGGGCTTCTCGGACATCTGGACATCCATAATCCTGTTTTAGATATAATACACTAAGACCCACACTCATGGGAAATGAATAATAATGATGTACTATCAAGTCAATTCTGACATGCCAGTCCTTTCCAGGAGCTTCCAGATATAGAGTACTAAAAATGGTTTATTATCCCCTTCTTCAGGGGTTCTCTGGGACTGTGCAGCTTGCCCAAGGCTATACAGGCAGGCTTTTCTCCTGGGAGTTACAGGGAAGAATCAAAACCTTAATGGCTAACACACTGAACCATATCCAGCCAGTTGCTCCTGAAAGAATCTCTCCTAAATAACTGTGTAGCTTCACCTCAAGGTGAAAAGACCTAAAATCCTACATGCCGTTTAGGCTCACGGAGCTTTTCCACACAGTTGCTGTGGGAGTGGGATTCTTGTCAATGCAAAATGTCGCTTTTTAAAAAACCAGAGAAAGCTCTGAGAGGTAACACAGTATGTGAAATGAAGGGGGACCTTGCTAGAGCAGGGTGTGCGTGTGGAGAAAATATGGTGTGTGAGGGCCAACACACACATGCGCACACAGAGAGAGGGGGGGGGTTTCCCCTAAAACTTTCCTGTGGGAGATTTTTGCATCCAGCCAGGCCAACACACACACACACACCCTTGAAAAACAAGAAAAGCCGCAAACCGCTTTCCCCTAAAACTTTCCTGTGGGGGATTTTTGCATTCAGCCAGGCCAACACACACACACACACACCTCCTTGAAAAACAAGAAAAGCCGCAAACCGCACAAAACTGGAAGTGGACATCTCGTAGTCATTTCTGATTCAGCTTTTTTTAAAAAATTGAGTTTTGAGGTATGATGCAGCCTGTGGTGTGGGGTCTTGGGAGCAGGAAATTGATCCGTAGAGGACGGCAACTTGTGTTGTAGAGCATAGAGAACGGAGATCCATTTATCTGTGCTATGCTAGGACTTTGTCACTTTCGAAAGGCCTGGTCTAAAACACCTCTTTTGCTGGGCTCTGGAGGCAGTTTTTCCCCACTAAGATTTTTACAGGGACGTGGTGGTGCTGTGGGGTAAACTGAAGCAGCCTCTGTGCTGCAAGATCAGAAGACCAGCAGTCGTAAGATCGAATCCACATGACGGAGGGAGCTCCCTTCGCTTGTCCCAGCTCCTGCCAACCTAGCAGTTCAAAAGCATGTAAAAATGCAAGTAGATTAATAGGTACCACCTCGGTGGGAAGGTAACGGTGTTCTGTGTCTAGTTGTGCTGGCCACGTGACAATGGAAACTGTCTTCAGACAAACGCTGGCTCTAGGATTGGAAACGGGGATGAGCACCATGCCCTAGAGTCGGACATGACTGGACTAAATGTCAAGGGGAACCTTTACCTTTACCTTTAACAAACAAATCTGGTGCTTCTTTCCTGCATAGAGTTCCTACATTTTTGAGAAGAGGCCACCAAGTACCACCCCTCATGAAAAGCAAGAGGTTTATGGCCAACAGTTGGACAAACAAATTGAGGACCGGGTGATGAGGGAGAAGAAGCAAAAACAGGACCAGGACCTCCGGGACCGCTTGGAACATGTGCAGCTGGCAGAAGAGTAAGTCTTCAAGGAGGAATTGTGCAACCTCGCATGCCTTTAGTAGGTTTGGCTGGGGTGACGGTTAACCACTCACAGCATGAACCGACCATTCCTTATCTGCCTGATTCAAAGAGAGCCATGCCTCCCTACTAAGAGCTCTTTCCCCTCTCCTGAGTCTGTCGGAAGCCGTGAGTGTGTTGAGACCTGCGCTGAAAGCAATCACGTTCTTAGTTTGCTTTTTTTTATCAGTTCAACTGTAAGTAATGAAACGTTTTTATTCTTTCTACGATTCATATTTCAGAGGGAGGGAGTGATACGGTAAGGGCCAGTGAATGAGGTGGACTAATCTGAGGAACTTGAGGGTATTCTGACAGTCTGCCTCAATTTAAACAAAAATTCAAAACTCTGCAACTGAAAAAGCCCTGTTTTACGATATTTCCCCTGCAAGCTTTACTTCAATAGTGGGCAAAATATTACCCCCAGCACTGCCCCTGGGCTTCTCATCCAAAAAATTACATAGTGTAAAAAATGTCCCTCGTGTGTTTCTAGGAAATGTGCAGGTAACTCCTCTACCTTTTTCTTCGGAAAGGTCTCTGAAGTCTGGTCAGTGATGGAGGGGGGAGGAGATATCAGGGTTTTCGTTGAGGTTTGCGAACCACTCACCTACCCACCAACCTCAAACCATGAGTGTTGTTAAATCTGGCCATTCTTTCATTGAATCCAGCCTTCTCCAGTGTGGCCTTTTCCATATGTTTTCCATATATTCCACCGACTTCTTAACTTGCAGCTGCTCACTACAACATACTACACAGTTTTACTAAACACCGGTTGATGCACATAGTAAGATTCTGGCCAGTGAATTATGTTTTGCAGCCCACAAGGCGATAGCAGCCTTCATTTCCACCCCTGCAAGCATTAATAACTATTTCAAAATTTGGCACAATGAGTCCTATTTACTTGTTATTCCAAAATCTTGATTTCATGAACATTAAAAAAAGTGTGCACTCCCTCAAAAGTCAAATCTACTTCCTGCTGCCAAATGGAGAATGCCAAAAAGTAATCCATATAGCACAAAATATGAAAACAATCACTTTGGAGGCTATTAAAGCTTTGTTGAGCATACCTAGAAACTTCGGCTGTGTTTTCTTTTGACCCAGATGTTTCTCTGCCCACAGTAAGTTCCAGAATTTTATCCCCTCAGCAGCTGGCAGCTGTGGAGTAACAGTGACCATGGGAGTTGCCAACAAGAAGTAGATCGTCCTCAGCCACGTTTGGCTAAATCTTTGTCATGTTTCTTTTTCTAGGTTAGCAGCCCAGAGAGCAAAATATCTGAAGGACAAGATGGAAGAAATGCAATGTTATAAGAGGGCATTAGACACCCAGGTAAAATGGAGGGCTCAAAACAAACAAACAAACAAAAAACCCCAGTAAAGCCTAGCTAAAAATGCAGTCCTGCATATATCTGTTTAGAAGTAAGCTGCACTAATTTCAGTGGAGTTTACTTCATCTTATGTGCATATTTCAGATGAACTAAGTGAATCAAAGCTTCAGTTACAAACTACCATATTTTTCTGTGTATAAGAGAGTGAATCAAAGTTTCAGTGGCAAACTGCCATATTTTTCCGAGTATAAGACTATTGTCTAAAATTTTTAGACTAAAAATTGATGGCCATCTTATACATGGAAGTAAGCTGAGGTGAGTACAAAAACAAGTGGAGGCAAAAGCAGGGATCAAATTGTTCCTGCAGGGCTTGAGTACAAAAACAAGAGGAGGCGAAAGCAGGGATCAAATTGTTCCTGCAGGGCTTTGATCCCTGCTTTCCCCTCTACTTGCTAAGTCCCATGAGGCTTAACAAAAGGAGGGGGAAAACAATCAAAGCAATCCAGTGGCTATAGAAGGGGGAAAGGGATCAAAATGATCATGCAGTTGCGGGATTGCTTTGATCCCTTTCCTCCTCCTTTTGCTAAGCCAAATGAAGGGAGAAAGCAGGGATCAAAGTGCTCCTGCACTTGCTAAGCCAAGTTTCATACGAAGCAGCACAAATCGATTCCTGTCCATCTCTATTTTGAACTCCACTCTTTTGCAGATTCATACGAAGCAGCACAAATTGATTCCTGCCCATCTCTATTTTGAACTCCACTCTTTTGCAATGTTAATTGAGTTGTCCCAAACATGCCAGAGAGATGGCTGCCAGCCACTCAGCACTCCTGCCTCCCCTTTTTCGTGGTCTTGCATTGAAACAGAAATCCTCTTTTGGCTGAGAATTGAGGTGACACAAGAATGTGGCAAAACGCTTACCGGAGAAGTCAGAATAAAACTTAGTTTACTTACTAGGTAAGCTAATTACTGCTAAATTAACAGTATTACATAGTGCTTGAAGGAATATGTTGCCCTCAGTTTACAGTCTTGTTGGCCTGCTGTTAAGTCAGTGTTCATGGTGCCCTGGGTATCGTTATTAGCCCAACTCAAAGGGGGGAAAGACTTTGTGGTCCTTGTGTGTGTTCCAAAGTCAAGGGTACACAAATCCTCTACTTAATAGTGGTTCCCAACCCCAGAGGTTCTTTGACGCAAAACTCCCAGAAGCCTTCGCCTCTAGCTGATTTCTGTAAGTTGTAATCCAAGAATATCTGGGGACCCAAAGTTGGGAACCACTGTTGTATTAGACCACTAAAAAACAAACAAACAAACAAACAAACAAACAAACAAAACAAATTGCAAGCCAATGCGAGTTTTCAGCTCCTAAGTATACAAAGTAACCCAGACATGTTGATCAAACCAAAGATTATGCGGACAAAAGTCATTGTGCATAAAAGTGCTCTTAGAATGATCAAAGCTAGAAACTGAAGTTACATTTTGCATAAATTGCAATTTGGAAGAAGGAGTGTTTCCAAATGATAACATGCCTGCTTTTGGCAGGAACAGGTGACAAAGCCATCCTGAAAACGAAAGAGTTACGAGCAAAGGGTTCGTTTCTTAATGAAGTTTCCTCCCCTCATTTGGACACAGATAAAGATGGGTGTGCCTCCATTACCAGAGTACGTGCCTGATTCAACCGAGGTGATCTTTGGGAAGAACGACATGACCAATGAAAAAATGGAGGAAAGAAGGAAACGAGCCCAGGAATATTCAAAATATCAGCTGGAGGCAGCTGCGGAGCGCAAGCGGGCGGCTCTCCTCAGCCAGCTGGTGGACCAGAGGAAGGCAGCAGACATGATTCAGAGGGCAAGGAAGCAGTAAGGATTGCTCTACTGGTTTTCTTTGCAACAGATCACAGGGTTAGGCTGTGTGGGGAGGGCATTACAGTGGTGCCTCGCAAGACGAACGCCTCGCCGGATGAAAAATTCACAAGACGAAAGCGTTTTGTGATCGTGTTGGTGACTTACAAGACGCCTTCTTTTATGGCTGTGCTTCACAAAAAATTTTTCCCCCGCAAGACCAATGCCTTGCAAAATGAAAATAATTCATTCGTTTTGCAAGGTTTCCCCCCCGCAAGACCGATACCTCACAAGACAAAAATAATTCATTCGTCTTGCAAGGGAAAATTTCGTAAGACAAAAATTTCGCAGTGCTACTTGTGGAACAAACTACTTTCATCTTGCGAGGCACCACTGTATTTCAAAATTGGATCACACAAGGAGAGATTTTTCTGTATAAACCAGGTGGGCCACCTCAGGAGACGCACTGTGACCCCCAGCTGCCAGCTGGCCACTTTTTTTGTTTTTTCTTTTTTTTAAAAGTGCCTTTTAAATGTTTAAAACCAGACCAGTAGGGATTGAGATAACGTTTAGTGGACCAGCCGGTCTCCTTTGGAGGTGCCATTTGTAATTCTGAAGGAAAACATAGCCATTTGGGGGAGGATTACTGGAGGAACGGCAACCCTCTAGCATCTGTGAGAGGCAAAAGAAAAAAAAATGGACCCTAGGCCCTTCGAGAGCCTTTTTTTGTATTATCCAGCTAGGAAATGGCTTCCTTAGGCCGGCCCAAAGTGCACAAAAATGTGTGAAGGCTTTCAAGATCATTGAGGTCTTATCTTCAGGCAAGCTGTGATAAAAACCAGGAGAATTAAAAGGGAGTGGAACAGGCAGGGCATGATCCTCCCCTGTATTTCTGTTATTTTGAGATGTGGTGAAGAGGAAGGAGCCGCATCTTAGGTGGTGCTCTTAGTTTTCATCCAGTGTAAATACAGACGTGTGCTATTTACTCAGAGCTACATGTCACCTGATATTTGCTCCAGATGGACAGTTTTCATGGCCAAAAGCCAACCAACACCATTCCATTTGTTATTTATCTATTTGTTACATTTCTGTTCCACCAACTCACGCTGACGTACGTGGCTTTTCTCCTCCCCCATTTCATCTCATTCAAACCCAGGCCTACCAAGTCCTTGATAGGCAATCTAACCAATATACCACCCTGCCTCCCAAGCTAGTTCCATTGTCCGATTCTCAGTCCTTCAGTTCCAAGATAAGTGCCCTGGGTTGGAAGTGGACAGAGTCTGAATGGTTTCTCTTGGCTTTGTTTAGGTGGGTGGCTGAAAAAGGAGCCCGGTTTGAGAGGATCTTCCAGATGAATTTAGCCCTTCAAGAGGACTGGCGGAAGAGTGCCAGGATGAAAAGGCAGAGGGATTATGAAGAGCAGCTCTTTCAGCGGTAATTATGAGCCGAGATCAGAAAAAGGCTGCCTGGTCGTAGAAACGATACAAATGCAGGAAGAGGTGAGACCTTTCATTGGCCATTAAGAATATAAAAGAAAACAAACAAACCGCAAGCTTCCGATGATAAATCATCTTCTTCAAGGCTATGCATCAAGTTCTTGTGGGTAGTTCCAAATTTATATGCTGTTATTAATGTCCCAAATTCACACGGCGGATGGTGTTGAGGCAGATTCGCTTCTTAGAGGGAGATGGCTGCAGTGTGCAAGCTGGTTTCAAGCTCCACCTCAGCCAGCAGTTTGGAATTTATGACCCATCTCTTAAAGAACATCCTTTAAGTTTGGAACTACCCACCAGAATTTGATGCGCAGCCTTGAAGAAGATGATTTAACATAAAGAGCTCATTTTTAATATACATACAGTATTCTTAATGGTTGATGAAAGGGATCACTTCTTGCATTTGTAATGATATGCTAAAGGTAAAGGTAAAGGTTCCCCTTGACATTTTAGTCAGTCGTGTCCGACTTTAGGGGGTGGTGCTCATCCCGTTTTCAAACCATAGAGCTAGCCTTTGTCCATTGACACTTTCCGTTGCCACACGGCCAGCATGACTAGGGAACGCTGTTTTACCTTCCCACTGAGGTGGTACCTATTTTACTCGCATTTGCATGCTTTCGAACTGCTAGGTTGGCAAGGAGCTGGGACAAAGCGACAGGAGCTCACTCCGTCGCATGGATTCAATTTTACGACTGCTGGTCTTCTGACCTTGCAGCACAGAGGCTTCTGCGGTTTAGCCCACAGCTAGGGGCCCCAAATTTATTCTTTGCTTCTCCAGGCCTGTCTTGGAAATGGGAACCAAGATGATTCCCATTTCCAGATGGGAATCATCTTGGTTCCCATGGTACTTCTTAAGCTGAAATGAAAACAAACACTTGCATGGTAGCTATGTCATGGTGCTCAGTTGATGAAGACTGGGGAGTCCCTTTATCCCTGCATCCCCAAGACTGAGGAATTATGTATCTCTAAAGCCTGCATTTGTGTACTTCTTCTATGTCCAGTTCATACACGGTTCTGTTGTGGTTTACCTGTTTTCCCCAAGATCTGAATTGAATCTGTAATGCCTCTTTAGTGAAAATTCATCTAGGCCTATATGACTTTATTCATTACTTTGAAACAGTGGAACAGTAACATAGCAGGGACTTCAGAGAATAATCAAGTAAAGGTGGGGCTACCTGGATACCGTACAAATTTTCTGTGACTGTGGAGAAGTTCAATCCGTGCAGCACGTATGTGCATGTAATATATGCCCCACCATGTGTACAAAAGAAGGTCTAGCAAGTGGCCAAGATAACACTGTTGAAGTATTCCATGTTGTGTCAAAAACAGTCTAATTATCATAATATTTTAATTTGTATTTCTTATATGTATGTCCATAATTTTGTATGTCCATAATGTATGTCCACTGGCAATGGTGCGGCTAAAAATATTGCAAATAAATAAATAAAAATGGATACAAAGAAAGAAAGAGAGGAAGAAAACAGCCTTGGGAGGTGTATGTGCATGTAGCCTAGGCAAATGTCTTGCCTATTTAAAAATATGCAATTCTACTGAGTTACACTGGGTGCTTCTGGGCTGGACGACAGGCAGGTGACCATCTTCTCTCCTCCAAGGGCTCCCATTGCTGTTGATATATTCTTATTTCCTTTGACTGCAGTGCCGGCGACAAACTCTTTCTGCTTGACCAGTGTGCAAGATTTCGTCGTTGCTACCAGTGCAAGAGAGGGCTGAACCACTGCAGCGAAGTCAGTACATGGACAGACACAAAATACATCCCTGGATCCCGGTTAATTGTTTGAATCTAGTGGGTCATCTCATTTCTTCAATCACCTCTCTTTTATCTTGAGAAAACGTTTCACTAATTGTAAAATAATAGATACCTTATTGTGCTGATGGGCTTCTGATTGAGTTTTTGCCCCTTTTCTTGTTTTCTAGCTACAGGGTTTTGTACACTTAAATTTGGTATGTTTTGTTGAGAATTATGTTGAATTAAAAAAATATGCAAGTGCTCCCAACACAGCTGTTTGCTTTGGTACTCAGTATGTAGGCACATTATGTTTGACGGAGACTATGTATGTGGGTGTCACTACAGAAGACACTGATCATGTTGTTCTTTATGATATTTTTTCCCCCAGCAACATAGTTTTTCCCCCCTGTGCAATTAAACATGCAAAGGAAGCCATTGTTTACTTTCCAGCTACTGTTTTGACAGTCCTGGTGCTGCTTTTAACATGCTTTCACAATTACACCATCTTTACCACTTGAGGGAGCATTGCTTCTAGACATGAAGTAAGTGTGACATCTTGTGAGACCCTCTGTGGATTGGCGATTGATATCATAATGCAGGTTTCTCGAATCTACCTTGTTGCTTTGTGAAACTGTCTGCAAAATTGTGCTCAATGTAACAATGACAGACAGGTGGAGTTAAGGAGCAAAATTCTTTGGACATGAGATCAGACTTCTGTTCTCAGTTCCAGCACATGGCCAAGAGTCCTGCCATGTGAAAACCTACTCACCAGGGTCTATCCATGTTTTCTCCATTTCAAAAGCATAAAAAGCAAAAGGAAAAAAAGAATGTTGCTTATATACTGTATTTTTCCATGTATAAGATGCCCCCATGCATAAGACCCCCCCCCTTTCTAATCAAAAATTAAGAAATCTACGTGGGGCTTAGCAAGTGCAGGGGGAAAGGGATCAAAGCACAGCAGGATCACTTTGATCCCTGCTTTCCCCTCCACTTGTTCTTGTTCTGTCCTCAGTTTACCTCCGTGTGTAAGACGACCCTCAATTTTTAGTCTAAAGATTTTACACAAAAGTATAGTCTTATACATGGAAAAATACGGTAGCTCCCCATAGCACCTAAAGCACTCTCTAGGCATTTTACAATTATGCAGGCTACACATTCCTCCCACCCCAGCATGTTGGGTACTCAGTTGATCAACCTTGGAAGGGTGGAAGGCTAGATCAACCTTGAGTTGGCTACCAGCGCCCGTCAGGATCAGACTGAGGTCGTGAGCAGAGTTTAACCACCGCACCATGAGGCTCTAATTATTTTGAAACGATAATGAAAAAGAAGAAACATTAAGCTTTAAAAAAAAACTATAACAAACCAGATCATCGTCGTTTAGTCGTTTAGTCGTGTCTGACTCTTCGTGACCCCATGGACCAGAGCACGCCAGGCCCTCCTGTCTTCCACTGCCTCCCAGAGTTTGGTCAAATTCATGTTGGTAGCTTCGATGATACTGTCCATCCATCTCGTCCTCTGTCATCCCCTTCTCCTCCTGCCTTCACACTTTCCCAACATCAGGGTCTTTTCCAAGGAGTCTTCTCTTCTCATGAGATGGCCAAAGGATTGGAGCCTCAGCTTCAGGATCTGTCCTTCCAGTGAGCACTCAGGGTTGATTTCCTTTAGAATTGATAGGTTTGTTCTCCTTGCCAGATAGGCAGATATAAAGATACAAGAACAAAGTTTGGAAAATCACAGTTATCAAACCCAGTTCTTATTCAGGCCCAGCTTTGAGATGGCAGCTTTTCAGTGAAGAAGTGGAGAATGCTATTTTATTATTAGTTCAAAAGTTGGACAGGTCTTCCTGTTCTGCAGAACAAATCAGAGCAGAATGCTATTTTCATATCTTAACTCTTGGCTAATTTCCCCAGAGATAAAATTCAACGTGCCTGAGATGCATCATGGATCAGCCTTTCCTGGCAGTACAAATTTGGGTTTTTTTAAACACAGGAATTGTTTTGAGTCTTCTGCATTTTTCTAGTATGATGTGGCTTTTTTGTGCATTGTAAGAAAAAACACGGTTATGAGAATTTGCTGAAAAACTGACCCGAGCTGGCTATTATTTTGCAAAAATTAAAAAGAAAGCTTGAACTGCTGCTCCTTTGCTATGAGCCCAGGAACTAATCTGGGAGGGAGTCAGCCAGCGGGAAATGTTGAGATGGAATTTTAAAAAAATGACTTGAAAAGTGAATTGGTGTTTCTATGTGTGTGAAAGGAGAATGACCATCCAGTGTCTGACACAAAGTCAGGGGTGAAAAGAGAAATGTGTTAATTAGGCACAATTTCAGCTGCTGGACGCAGAATGGCATTAAGGGGCACTGTGTGGAAAAGACTGTTACATAAATCAGTTGAATAGGAGGTAGAACAATGGATTTTGTGTGGGTGGGCCTTAGGTTTATCTACTGTAATTACACCCTAACCCTTCCTTCCTCACAATAATTCCTTAGACTGTGAAAATTTTGTGTGTGTGTGCGTTTTTGTATGGATGTGTGCGTGTGTGCCATAGTTTGCTGCTGTGGTCCACACAGTCAAAGGCTTTTGCATAGTCAATGAAGCAGAAGTAGATATTCTTCTGGAACTCTCTGGCTTTCTCCATAATCCAGTACAAGTTAGCAATTTGGTCTCTAGTTCCTCTGCCCCTTCAGAATCCAGCTTGTACTTTCTGGGAGTTCTCGGTCCACATGCTGCTGAAGTGATGAAAAGCTATAGTGCTTTTCAACACACCTACCTTGTAGGATCTTGAGCATAACCTTGCTAGCGTGTGAAATGAGTGCAATTGTACGGTAGTTGGAGCATTCTTTGGCACTGCCCTTCTTTGGGATTGGGATGTAGACTGATCTTTTCCAATCCTTCGGCCACTGTTGAGTTTTCCAAACTTGCCGACATATTGAGTGTAGCACTTTAACAGCATCATCTTTTGAGATTTTAAATAGTTCAACTGGAATGCTGTCACCTCCACTGGCCTTGTTGTTAGCCATGCTTTCTAAGGCCCACTAGTAAATACCCAATAAATGGTAAATACCCAGGTTATTTACTATTATTAATAGTAAATATCCTAGTAAATACCCAGGGAAAAGGAGATTTAGACCAGGCTCTTTCCCTGTGAACTGTGTTTCAAGAGCTCTCAGTAACATCTTTCAAGATCAGTCAAGAACTGCTTTTCTGCATTGCTGAAGTTCAATGAAAATGTTGGGATTAGACATGAACAGAAGGCAGGAGATCAAATTGAGAGAAAAGGTTAGCTGAGCTTCTCTATTTATATGGAAATCATTTTACTCTGAGTTTAGATAACCATATTCAAGAAAGGCTTCAATCATCACATGGGCCTAGGGGGGGGAGCCTGGTGCCTTGATTTTGTGATTTTCCTGGAAACTGTGCCCATTCCTCTTGGAGGCTTCGGGGAAGAAAGCCGGGTAGGCCTCCATGAATATTTTGCTAAGGAATGTGCTGTT